AGATAGTGTTTGATAGACGTCCTGATAGAACTCTGTGACACCTCTGTGCCCCTGACACAAAACATTCATTTGGTACTCTAGTGTACCTATATCTCGTTTATCCGCGTAGTGCACCATCAGACATTTGCGTATTTTGGCCCAATCCAATGGAGTCCTATAGGATTCTAAAGCAGTATCGGCCTCACCTATAATTTTCGTACGAATTGTATGCAAAATTGCGTAGTATTTCCCGGTACCACGAAGTGATGAGTATAAATCAATCACCCTTTCGACTGATTTCCTCCAAGAGCTGAATTCTCCGGGTTTTCCCGAAAATTCCCTCAAGGATTTCACTATATCTGGAACTTTGTCCAGTTCCTCCAGTCTCGAGGAGACTGTTCCTACCGGTATGTCACTACCATCGTCAAACGTTTCGTCTCGTCCGGCCAAAAGGTTTGTAATCATTCGTGTGATTTCATTTCTTTGTCTGTCCGTGAGTGCTGAACTACCTGATGTAAGGGTGTTTGCCCTTGTTTGAGTCTCCATGTTATTTGAAGATGGATTCATCGTAATTCTATTTAATTTTGCGGCAATATCATCCACTGATTCTAACATTTTTTCTCTTTATCAAAAGGAAAGGTGGAGCTATCAAAGTTACGTTATTTATCAGTATTGGGAACAAAAAAAAATTTCATAGGTAACAAATAACTATAACTATAAAATGTTAGGAACTAAATTTGTTCCTAATTTGAATTCTTAAAGTTATTCTTACAATAGCAGCATCATTAGAGTCTGGAGTAGCATCCTTCTAGTACAGATGAGATGAGATGAGATGATCGTTTTTCTTAGTCCTTTCAAAGTTTTCAAAGTTTTGTTGTGTCCGATTTTTTTCACTTTTATTTATAAATTGTTAAAATATTTAATATTGTTCAAACAATTTTTTTTTTTATTTTAATTTTTATTTCTGTCTTAACTTTATTTTTATTTATATTCATTCAAACTTATTTAGATTGCTTTAATTTTTATCTCTTTTTTTTTTTATAATTTCTCACAATTGTTTCTCTTTTATTTCTCACTTCATTTAATTTACTTTGCATTTAAGTTTTCACAAGTTTTTTTTTTTTTTTTTTTTTTTTTTTTTTTTTTTAAGTTTTCATTTTGTAATTATCATTTTAATTTCCTTTATTTTGATACTTTTTTTATTTTTTTTTTTTTTAAATTCTCACTTTTTATTTAATTTAATTTACTTTGTTTTTTAATTTTTCAGGAGTTTTTTTTATTTTCTTTAATAGTTTTTCATTTTTCACAATTCTTGTATCAACGTTTTTATTTTACTTTCACTTTTTTAAAATTTTATTTGTAAACTTATTTAGATTGCTTTATTTTTTATCTCTTTTTTTTTTATAATTTCTCACAATTGTTTCTCTTTTATTTCTCACTTCATTTAATTTACTTTGCATTTAAGTTTTCACAAGTTTTTTTTTTTTTTAAGTTTTCATTTTGTAATTATCATTTTAATTTCCTTTATTTTGATACTTTTTTTATTTTTTTTTTTTTTTAAATTCTCACTTTTTATTTAATTTAATTTACTTTGTTTTTTAATTTTTCAGGAGTTTTTTTTTATTTTCTTTAATAGTTTTTCATTTTTCACAATTCTTGTATCAATGTTTTTATTTTACTTTCACTTTTTTAAAATTTTTATTTGTAAACTACCGTAATCTAGTGATCCGCGTCGCGGGCTTTAGGGGCTGTAACATAACGTTACGTCCTTTTCACAATTAAGTTACTGGGGCGCCACCTGAAGGCTTGACTTTTGTCGGAAATCCTTTCTTCGGGTTTCGAGTACCTGTTTAAAAACAGGTCCCTGCTCTCGCGCCAATTAATTCAATGTTAATTTATTTATTTTTTTAAAAATTTGTGATTGCTGCTTACTGCAAGCAATCACGTCTTTATTGGTTAAGGTTCCGGACTACAAAGTGAATAATGAAATAAAACTACCCTAACTCATACTTTGGATTCATGCACCCAGATGATACTGGACACCTGCTCGTGTTGGCGATGGAATGTTGCTGTCTGCCTGTTGGATGTTGTTGTCAGTTTTTCGTTGGGAACTGCAGTGTCAGCAAAATGACACGCTTATACTTTGGTTGATGAATTCTTTGGGTTGCTAATGTTGAATTTGAATATGTCTGGTGTTAACTTATACATATATATCCGAGCCGAGTTTTACCGAAATAAACCTGAAATCGGATAAGGGATATATATGGGAGCTATATCCAAATCTGAACCGATCATTATACAATTTGGCAGAGGTATTTCTGGCTGTGTCTGATATCTGGTACGAAATGTGAGGGACTTAAACATCAAATCGGTTGAAAAAATATATATGGGACCTATAGTTAAATCAGAATCGAAATTTGATGTACTTGCTTCCAGAGTGAATTGGGTCGGATGTGTCAAAATTCAGGTCATTTGAACTGATAATGGTCATTTGTGGACAATTAATCCGAAATCGGTTGAAGATATATGTAGGAGCTATATATTTGTATTTGAACAGATTTTCACCAACTCCAATGGGGCTCGTTCTCGGGCCATATACATCTTGTTTTGGAGACCTGTATTTATTATCCGATTGAGATGGAATTTGTTCACAAAAATACATGGACAGAGGCTGGACGGACGGATGGGCTAACGGACGGACTCAGAGAGTGATTCTATGCAGATAATCAAAAGGAACTGTGGGTCTCTCTCGCTTTTATTTGCCTGTTACAAGCACATGCACAAAGACATAACACCCTGACCACCTTGTGGGTATAAAAAGACCCAGTCCAGTCTCTCCCCCTTGTAAATATTCATCTGAATACAACAGTTTTTATACCCTCTGCCATATGGCTACAGAGGGTATATATCATTTGATACGACCACAATGTGCCTAGTCGAACTAACTGTTTTAGACCACAGGTATTGTTGGACCAAATCCGTTTCAGGATATTTGGAGTCGATCTAGCGATGTCCGTCCGTCCGTCTGTCTGTCTGGCTGACTGGCTGGTGGCCTCGAAGGGAGTATCTGATTTGATCCATAGTTGGTGTATCGTAATATTATTGCCATACTTAGATCGAGTTTGGAGATGGGCACTAACGGTTCTGGTACCTCCCATACAAAATATCCAAATTTTTAAAGAAAATAAATTATTTGACAGAAAAAGAAACGATAATCCGATTTTGCTCCTTTGTAAATCCTAATATTTGCATCAGTGCTAGGTCAGTTGCGAAAATTGACAATATCGGTCCACTTCTTCTGGTACCTCCCCCACAAAGCGTCAACATTTTGAATGTTTACAACTCTTATAAAATGTGATGTAAGAGTCAGATTGTCTTCAAATTTCACACATCCCAATAATTTTATTAACCCAAGATCTGTGTTAAGATGGAATATATCGGTCCACTCCTTCTGGTACCTCGCCCACAAAAGGTCGAAATTTTGAATATCCATTGAGTTCATAAAACGCGAAATTAATATCCGATCCCGTTTAGACTTGGCATATCTGCATATTTCCATTAACACAGGATGTGTTATAACAACGGTAGATATCGGAACATTTCTTCTGGTACCTTCCCCACAAAGGGTCAAAGTTTTGTAATGGGTCATCCCATTATTTCCACTAACAAAAGATCTGTTGTGATGATGGGATATATCGGTCCACTCCTTCTGGTACCTCCCAAAAAGGGTCAAAAATATCCATGAAGTTCATAAAAAGCGAATTCAACATCCTATTCAATTCCAGACTTAGTACATTCTAATATTTCCATCAACACAAGATCTGAAATAAAGATGGTAGAGGTCGGACCATTTCGTTTGCTGCTTGCACCACATAGGTTTCAAGATTTTAAAAAACAACAGGCAAAAGGAAACGAGATAGACCAATAGTTCCTTTTGATGATCTGCATAGAATCACTTTCTGAGTTGATATAAGCATGTCAGTCCGTCCGTCCGTCTGTCCATGTATTTTTGTGAACAAAATGCAGGTCGCATTTATTAAAATGGGATGGAATTTGGCACACCGAATTTAGTCTAGAAGGTAGTATGCCAAATTTGGTGAAGATCGGTTCAGATATAGTTATAGCTCCCATATATAATGTTTATCCGATTTATTGTATTTGTTACCCACAGCCGTAATATGCACTCCGTAATAACGATATTCAGGGAAATATATCAAATACAGCTCAGAAATATCTTTGCCAAATTTAATCGAGATCGGTTCAGATTTGGATATAGTTCCCATATATATTTTTATCCGATTTCAAATTAATTTCGCACCAAATGGACAATAGAAGTACGAATTTAAAAGATACAAGTGCTTCGGCATATTTAGTCCTTTGAATTTTAAATTATAATTATAATCATAGCGTGTATGGTTGAATTCTCCCATAAAAACTTTTAATTATTAAGTGGAGCTCAACTAAATTAGCAAAGTGGTGTAGGGTATCATAAAATCGGCCCTGCCCGACTTTAGGACTTTCTTTACTGATTTATATTATATATATTGACAAATTCCTTCGAAATCTACTCCATAAGGGGTTAAACATTTGAATAATCATAGCAGAAGTCAAAATATTTTTAAATAATCGTACATTAGCTGAAGGTATACATCTGTCGGCAAACACGACAAATTCTTTTTAACTTGTTTATAGAGCACTTGGTATTAAAAATTTTCTCGGTATCAGTTCCGATAAAATATGGAATCTTAAATTATCTGTTACCGCCCAACATTGTTACGTACTTAAGTTTTCGCCACATAATATTTGAAAGGCCAATTGTTTTCCTAGCCCATATGCCACTAATTCTTTCAAAGTCTAATGTTACTGAAATTGAACATAAAACCTGTACTTATTTTCGTAACTGCACTATTGCGAAGGTATCTTAACAACATGACAACAACAAAAAGAGCAACCCATTCCCATAATGCCATATCATATTTTTCCTTATATAAGCAATAATACATTTTTATCTGTACACTCACCATCACCGGAATCATAAACAGCTCTCTCCTGCATTTCATCCAAATCGTGTGGCTTAAACGAGACTTTGCCACTGGGAACTGAATCCATAAATTGTGCTCTGGCCAGAGCATAAATATCTGCTGTGTCCTTTAGAGCGCTGCCCGATGCCGTTGCATGTGAACCCGATGCCGTTGAGCCTCCTACAGGTGCATGGCCAGCCATCGGTTTCGTTACAAATGCACATGTCTGACACACCATTACGGCGGACACGATGAATGTCGTGAAATAATAAGCCAACATATCCGTTTGCATATTACGCGTGTCTGAAATTATGAGAAGGAAGAGGAAAATGTAAATGAAAATTGCGGTTATGGCTAATGGGAAACGATGGCTAAAAACAAAACATGCGTTTGTGGTGAAAGTGTGTGTAGGCTACGTGTGTGTGTGTGTTTACGTGGAAAACATTAATACCACTTTATTTAGAGGAAAGTGCGATTATTATTTTCCAAGCTAATTTCAAGGGAAGTCATTAAAATTGCATGGAATGCAGTTAAATTCTCATAGGTGTCAAGGGGAGCTGACTGGATGCGCAATTTGTACGCTTTACCGTTAGTTAGTTAATTAATTAGCAGCGGTTTACTTAACGAGCAATTAACAATGGATTGGCTAACTTATTCTATTGTCTCGTTCTGATATGAACCTTGCTATATAGAACTGGGCGTATCTGATGGAATGAAAAAGTGACAAGTGAAAAAAAGTATAAAATTTTGAATAAAAAAAATACTGGGTGTGAAATATAAAACGAAATTTTTTCATCAAGAAAATGATTTTCGTAAATCGGATTTAGCTAATCCTATTGAATTTGGTGAGAATCGGTTAAAATTTAGATATAACTCCATATATATCTTCAACCGGTTTCGGGTTAATTGTGCATCAAATGGCCAATATCAGTCCAAATTACCTGAATTTTGGCATAACCGACCGAAATTAGTCTAGAAGAAAGTACATCAAATTTTGTTCAGATTAAGCTATAGCTTCCGTATACAAGCTTCATCCGATTTGGGATTTTATGTCCCTCACATGCGTAATATGCACTCAGCACAGAAATAATTCTGCTAAATTTTATCAAAATCGGCACAGAGTTGGATATAGTTTCTATATATACTTTTATCCGATTTCAGGTTTATTGTGCTCCAAATGGCCAATATCAGTCCAAGTGGAGAATTACGACAGAATTCAGTCTAAAAGCACGTGTATCAAATTTGGTGAATATCGGTTCAGATACAGGGTGAGATGAAAAAACTGGAACCAATTTTAGGACTGTTGTCATTTCTAAGCCACTTGTCCGACAGCTGTTAAAATTATTACAGTGGTAGCCCATTATATTGTTTACATGCGTACAAAAGCATTTTTTTTTTTTTTTTTTGAGAATTTTACAGAAAATTTTTTCCAGTTATTCCTGATGGAATTCGAGCGTGATAGTGTGATTTCTTTATATTTGGCTGGAAACCCTCAGGTGGCTATCGTTAGAGCACTCCAGCATTTAAATGTGAATAAATCTTTTGTGTCTCGTACCATCGCTCGTTACCATGATACTGGTAGCGTAGACCGAAGTCAAGGAAATGGACGGAAGAAAACAGCAACATCAGCAGAAATGGTTCGAAAAGTAAAAAAGCCCGAGCCGCAGTGGCCGAAAAATGGCTCGTGAGCTGAACATATCGCAATATTCCCCTCAGCAAATATTGAAAAATTAGCTCGAGGTAATATTTGCTGAGTGGAATATTGCGATATGTTCAGCTCACGAGCCAATTTTCGGCCACTGCGGCTCGGGCTTTTTTACTTTTCGAACCATTTCTGCTGATGTTGCTGTTTTCTTCCGTCCATTTCCTTGACTTCGGGCTACGCTACCAGTATCACGGTAACAAGCAATGTTACGAGACACAAAAGATTAAGCCATTGAAATAACAAAAAGTGCAAGGACTTACACCACATCAGAGAGAAAATAGACTCAAGAGCGCTAAAGAGTTGCTTCGCTTGGCCGAAAGTGGTGAACTGCCGAATTTGGTTTTATTCCGATGAGAAGACATTCGTTGTCCAGCAGTTTGTAAACAATCAAAATGATCGTGATTACTTGCCAAAGAGGTCAGCTGAAAATGTGCTTCTTCGGTCGGCCACCAGAACTCAAGCGCCGGCCATGGTGATTGTGTGGGCCGCCATAACAGCCGATGGTCGCTCTCCGCTCGTATTAATCGACCGTGGCATCAGAATAAATGCAGAATATTATCGCGAAAATATTCTTGAGGGTGTATTAAAGCCTTGGAAACGCAAACATTTTGGGCGCAGACCTTGGAGATTCCAACAGGACTCAGCACCATCGCACTCAGCACGCGCCACCTAAGAATGGTTATAAAATGGGGTTCCTCGCTTCATTTCCAGCGCACAATGGCTACCAAAATCTCAGGATTCCAATTCCAAGGTTGGCACTAAAAAATACCAAAGTGTTGATCACCTCAAGCAAGCGCTTCGCCGGGAATGGACCAAAATACCGCAGAGCAACATTCGGGCAGCGTGTGACGGTTTCATTGGCAGTTTCGATTTTCAATTCGAACAAATCTAAACTTATTCTAAATTTTTTTACTTTCATTAAATAAAATTGAAAAAAAGTAAAAATTATGGCCTTTGATTTTGTTGCAGTTATATTTTATCTCATCCTTTATAGTCGGCCCGCCCGACTTTTAACTTTCTCTTACTGGCAAGTGAACCAATGTTGTTAGACATTTTTTCGCAAAGTTGATTATAACTACATTTACTGTGTGTGGAAAAAAAACGAAAATTTTTCATCAAACAAATGATTTTTTTGTAAATCGGATTTAATTTAAATATTGAAATTATTCTTTTAAATCACTGTACTAGGCTCGGTTTTGAATATAAAAATGAATCGACCGAAATGGCAAGACACAAATTGGATACTGTTAGGAAAAGGTGTACATTTTTAAAAAATATTGCATCTGAAACAAATATCTGGGAAAATATGTATTTCTAAACTTTTTAATGTAAAATCTTTATCTTGAAAGCGAAGTTTCGTAGATTTTAATCACAATGTTTTGATATGAATTATGTTTACGAACCAATCCTAAGCTCTACAAAGTAATCGGGGCAACGTGTTTTATGATTGACAAACCATAACCACAATAAATGTCAATACAATCGGCACTATTTGTGATTGCTGTCGGAAAAAGCAAGTGACGTTTTGCCGAATATGGTTTAAGGCCATATCGAAACGAACGTGTTCGAATTTTTGCTTTCACCCAAAAAAAAAAAAAAAAAAAAAAAAAACAAATGTTGTGATGTCACATCTCCAGCTTATCAACCTTCGTAGTCAATATTACAAAATTATGGTTTTGCTAGCAAATTTTATTACGCACCAACTATTGCAACATTCGCAGGTTGATTGAGACATAATATTCGCTGCTAGTATCAATAACTCGCTAATAGCATTCTGTCAGATGGGTTGTCAAACGCATAACAGGCGTCATGTATATACGTACGCATGTGGTTGAATGTTGATTTCGGTTGAACGTGCCAGGAATATTTGAAATGTTGCTGACGTATTCGAATTGGGATACACTGAAGGCAGCAGAGAGATCAGGAAGGCTTGGTTGATTTATTTCGATGTTTCCATTGATGAGAAAAATATGCGAATCGAGTGGGTTACAAATATCAAAGAGAAATGAAACAACGATTTTCGTGTTCGAAACCTATAATACTCATTCAAGAAAGGTTCATAGTTTGTTATGGGTAGCTCTATAAAAATTTGCATAAAGGTGTAGGGTATCATATAGTCAGTCCCGCCCAACTTTTGACCTTTCTGTGTTGGGAGTATTAGCAGTTACGCCCGATTCTAAAGAAAAATAGAACCCCATTGTTGTTCAAGGTGTTCGCAAAATGTTTAGGTGTTGAAATGTATCAACAACTGAAAATGTTCCTCATTTTGTAGTCACTTTACAGGTCACAATTACAGACCAATCCACATGGAATTTCGCATGAGCCCAAAGATTAGGATAGGGCATAAGTATAACATTTTGGATAGTCATTGCATAATATTTAGTGAGTAAAATAGACAAAAACCTTTGTGTGAAACCAAAAGCAGAAGAGTTTGGTATTATTTCAATAACGAAATCAGCATAAATGGATTTGGCCCCAAGGAGGCGTTCCAATACTAAATGGTAATAAATTTAGTATATGACGAAGGGATAGAGTTGGAGATTTGATTTTTGGAATTAAATTAACTTTCTCCGAGGTGGGTTTAAGCTTTGAAGGTGGAAATGTATAGGAAAATAGAAAGGAATTCGAATGAATGTGTCGAAACAAGTAAAAACAGTAAGGGCCGAACTTTTAATACTCTCCACCATTTGGAACGAACTTGGAAATTAAAAAAAAATAGTTATAAATAAATAAAATCCGTTAAAAATTCTGTTAACATCTTAAAAAACCGAATATAGCTATTATATGCTGGTCTATATGAAGACGTGGACCTGCACAGATAATTTTATACCATAGGCTGTCCATTACGAACTTCTAATACCAAATTTAAAACAATTTTGGTGAATATTATACCTAAAATTGTCAAAATACCGAATATAGGGAGGTACTGATATATGGGGCCTATACGATATATGGGTCATACAAATGTTTTTTGTCATATGCTGTAGTACTAATATAAAAACGAAACTTGAAACAACTCTGATGAAGAATATCTCTAAAATCTTTAAAAATTTTGAATATCGCGGAGTAGCATTGTATGTGGGCTATACCATATTGTGGTCATATGCAGACATTTCTTTACAGGGGGTAAAGTGCTTAGAAATAACTTCTATTTTTAGACAATTCCATTTAAAACTGTAGCTAAAATCATCAAAATACAGAACATAGGGAGGTACCGTTATATGGGGGCTATACGAAGACGTGGACCTGCACAGACAATTTTCTGTCTTAGACTGTAGTATCCATTTCGAACTTCAAATACCAAATTTGAAACAATTCCGGTGAATAATTTCGCTAAATCACCAAAATACCGAATATCGGGAGGTACCGTTATATGGGGGCTATATGAAAACGTGGCTCATTTAAGAACTTAACCTGCCTACTGGAAAAATAAACATGTGTGCAAAATTTTAGCCCTCTATCTCAATTTGTTCGAAAGATAGCGGGATTACAACAGACAGACATCGCCGACATAGAATTTTGCGCTGATCAAGAATATATACTTTGTTGGGTCTGACATGAGTATTTCGAGGAGTTACAAACGGAATGACAAAGTTAA